TTGAGTTAGGTCTGGGTTAGGTCTGGGTTAGATCTGAGTTAGGTCTGGGTTAGGTCTGGGTTAGGTCTGGGTTAGGTCTGGATTAGATTTGAGTTAGGTCTGGGTTAGATTTGAGTTAGGTCTGGGTTAGGTCTGGATTAGATCTGAGTTAGGTCTGGGTTAGGTCTGGGTTAGATCTGGGTTAGGTCTGGGTTAGGTCTGGATTAGGTCTGGGTTAGGTCTGGGTTAGGTCTGGGTTAACTTTGGGTTAGGTCTGGGTTCTAATCCAGATCTAACCCAGACCTAACGCAGACCTAATCCAGATCTAATCCAGACCTAACCCAAACCTGACTCAGATCTAACCCAGACCTAACCCAGACCTAACTCAGATCTAATCCAGACCTAACCCAGACCTAACCCAGACCTAGCTCAGATCTAATCCAGACCTAACCCAGACCTAACCCAGACCTAGCTCAGATCTAATCCAGACCTAACCCAGACCTAACCCAGACCTAACTCAGATCTAATCCAGACCTAACCCAGACCTAACCCAGACCTAACCCAGACTTATTGCAGACCTAACCCAGACCAATTCATCGCTGATAACGGGGGTTAGGTCTGGGTTAGGTTTGGGTTAGGTCTGGGTTAGGTCTGGGTCCAATTTCGGTCATTCACGGTAACAAATACACTTGTAAAGGGGTTGCTCCGAATCCAAATCAATCGTCACATTTATTTCTATTCTTAACTTTGAAATATTCATATCGGTGCATTTAACACCAGAATTATTGAACTTATTGACCCATTCGTAAATTCTAATAAAAGTTGGTAGCATCGCGGTAAAATTGAATCGCTCTAAGCTTGGATAATTAAATCGAGCGCATAAATTCTACTTACAACGCGGAGGTATTTTCGGTCGAAATTTCGTGGAATTACCAGCAATAAATGATACTTGGTAACTGCCCTTTTCGTAAGGAACACATTGTACAGTATTACATGTAGACGGATCGCATAAAGGAAGGGTTAACCGCATTATTTCGCTGAATAACGATGGAAAGCGTTTGCGGTGTTCTGGGGGGGGGGGTGGGGGGGGGGCGCGGGGCAATTAGAAATAGAGGCAGACGGTACAGTGTAATTGAACGGGACTTAATTAAAAGTTGCATATCTTCGTTTTTCCATTCTGTGTTCGTCGTGGTCATCGGAATGACACAGACTAGTCGCGTTACGGGATAAAGACCGACAGAATGGTTTCATTTCTGAAAGGAAATTTCATCGCAGCACGATATAAAAGTGTAAGGAGAGACAGAGACAGGAGGAATGAAAATACAATCCAAAATGTCTCCAGCTTGGAAAGACTTTTATTCTCTCGTTTCTCGATGCACCGGAGTGTATCGTCTATGTATCGGTATCGACAATATTTAGGACAACAATAAACGTGGAAAACATACTGCAATGAAAAATAACTTTCCGAAGCACTTGAGGCTTAAACTTTTCGTACTAAGGCTATTTCGAGATCCACTGTACGTTGTACGCCAGATTAGCGTTTGAATTATCTGTGCACAGCACGAAACAACCGCGAGGATGCGTACAATGTAGGCTGGCTGGTTCATTAACATAAATGATTTTTCGACTACTTGCCACGTAGACAGTGGCGTTACTGTATCTTTAATGAAAATACACACCCAAAAATAGCAGATTGTCAGGAATGGAATGGAATTCTTGGGACGCGATATCGAAATCAAAAGGCATCGATATTTAACACTTTACCGACCGGTAGCCTATTAATCGACTGTTTTACCGACCAATAGCCTATTAATCAACTGTTTTATCGGTCGGTAATCGTTGGTCGGTAAAACAGTCGATTAATAGGCTATCGGTCGGTAAAGTGTTAAGTACGAAGCGAATTTATGTCGAATTATGTTCGAAAGTGATATTCGTGGATGTAATAAAATCTGGTGCGCGTTGCCCACGGCCGTTTCCTATATTTGCGGTGGTCTGGTTCCGCGTGCCCCAACGGAACGAAAAGTGATAACGCGATTGTGTCACAACCCATCGATTACGGGATGCGAACATCACGCGCTACGGTTCCGTCAACCACGACTAACGCTCTCAGCCCTGTCACTATTATGCGTCCGGTCTTTCATCCGTTGTATTACGATTATCACGGTCATATATACAGTAGACAAGAGCCGCCAGGAACATAGAGAGCTAGTGTCAGACGAGGCCCTATTGTCAGCCTCGGCTCCGACATGTTGGTAACGAGCCGTTTGTTGCTACAAACTGCGCGTACGTGTATCCGCGGTTGTACCGTTGCAATTTAGCGAGTCACAACCTGATCAATATCTCCGAATAAAGCAAATGAATGGGATTTAATCGACGGCATTTATTGATAGAAAGCTCAATTTAACAGCCCGCGATAAAGACTATACACGTTCGGTTGTTTATGATCACAAATATTCAATCAAGGAGCCCTTTTCATTGCTTAAGTTACATTACTATATTAACCCTTTTAGTGCCGAACGACGATATATCGTAATGTCTGACCATACATTGACATGTTTCCCTGAAATTTTTGGAAAAATTATTTTCGGTTGCGGGGGTCAATTACAATCATTTTTTGTCAATAGACATACCCTTAAAATCCTAACCATTTTCGAGAAAAAAATTCCCTAAGAAAATGTAATGTCTGACCATACATTGACATGTTTCCCTGAAATTTTTAGAAAAATTATTTTCGCGTGCGGGGGTCAATTACAATCATTTTTTGTCAATAGACATACCCTCAAAATCCTGCGCGTTTCCGAGAAAAAAATTCAGTACGGGACTCCACTTTAAACGTTAATAACTCTTTAACAAAGCCTCGTCATATTTTGAATTGATTATTTATTAAAAAAATCATTGACAATCAAATACTTATACTTTATGCTACGTGACCTACATAAAACTGTGATCAAACAATGATTATTCTTATGTGTAAATATTGTTTGTAGAAGAGAAACTTTTTTCTATGTTTTTTACCATATTTTATAATTATGTTATTTATACGATTTGCAATAATTATTGAAATGCAATTGCCATTACTTTATTCTTTCTTTATTTCGTAATATGCTGCTTTTTCAATTTTTTAAATATCATTCTTAGTTTGGTTTTTATGTGCCTTTTCTCTAACCATAACAAACTCGTCATATTGGCTCGGTGTTCTTCGCATAGACACTAAAAGGGTTAATACAATTTAAATTTCGCGCATTTGTGATTCTTCGAACAGCTACCAAAACGCCATCTGGCGGATCGCGGTCGTGAACGGAGTTCAATCACGAACCGTCATTTTGTGATCACTGTGACAAATCAGTGTTAGTGATCTTGCAAGCCATCTCTATTCTCTATTCTCATTATTATTTAATGTATTAGTATATTATTTCATAGATAGATACAAATTAAGAAACTGCAAGTCATTAAATCACGAAGAAAATAAAGATGTTGATCAAGGATTCAGTATGGGGTTATGAATTCAGGTTGCTCGGTAAGTAGACCTCGTTTTCACTCCTTTAAAAGTTAATAATGTATCTAACTTTTTTAAATTGAAAGAATTCCGTTTGCTGGGATGTTCTGCATCCTTAACTCTTTGATTCAGACTAGGATTAAAAGTGTCCCTCCTTTTTGATGCATCGTAATGCATGGTGGTACATTTTTAGTCTCACCTCGAAATATTGCAATAGCTGCATATGCACATAGGTTATATTTCGTCTCATTTACGTAAAGCAGTTGGTCAATATACCAATAGAGTATTTATGAGTTCATCAATTCTTGCAAGTTCATTGCAACAAATTTAATTAAACTATTACTATTCTCTTATGTTTTTACATACCAATTTTGTTTAATTTAAAATGCAATAAAATTTCTATGCAACATGCCTTAAAGAGTTAAAGGATACATGAAATAGAAAAAGTCGATTTCCCCTAACCTCCAAACCAGAATTTCTCATTAAGAAAAGAATACTTAAAAAACAGAGAAAGGATTGGTCCGTAGGAAGAAAGTAAAATACTTCAGTCTTGGGCTGTCAATACCGAACTTCTGAGAACCGCATTTTCCCCCGTCTATGGGAACGTGGGCACCCCATAGTCGTGATACAGTTTCCCGCCTCCGGCCGCTGCGCGAACAAATTAATTTATCATTTTGCAGCGTTACGGTTAACAGCATTCCGTAGAAATAATGGGCAGTAATAAAGGGACGTAGAAAACCTAAGGAACCCCGTACGTCTACGGGGAAAAAGATAAAGGAGAGAGAAATGAGGAGCATGGGCGAGGGAGGGAGCGAGGCGAGGCGAGGAAACGAGAGCAACGGCTGACGGACGAAGTGGGAAAGGAACACAAAGGTGGTGCGCATGCGCGAAGCATGGGTGTATCTTCAGTCACCCTTTCCAGTTATCCCCACCCTTCCTACAGACTCGCCTGCTTCCCTCCTCGCTCGTCCCTCGTCCACGGCTCGACTCAGTCACCGGACCGTTTCGCGAGCGGAGGGTTTACGCGCCTTTTCTCTCCACAGTTACTTTCTCGTTGTTCGACTGTTTCTCGCCGACCGTATCGTACGTGAAATTAATCGAAGCGCGTGACCGCGTGTGCGACGAGTGTTCCACATTCGCCCACTGTCACATGTACGTCGCGTTTCCAAGTGTCGGCACGAGAACCCTCGCGACGTTGTTATCCTTCGGTTTGCTTGTGCGTCGAGTTAGTGCCGTGGTGTTTCGAAATTCTCGTTGCTACGGCTGTTTGAGATTTATCGTTACTTGTGGGTGCAGACAGAGCATCGGGATTCTGTCGCGAACGTAGCATGAAGCTACACCGTACCAATGGGAAAGTGACGTTCTCGAGGATCAGCGACTCGTGACACTCTTCGAATCTTCACCGCCGTTCGAAAGGATCTTGTTTTGGGCGACGAAACGCGTAGAATGTGTTTGCTCGACGTTTTCCACGAGGTTAGGTTGATTTTTCGTGAATGTGTCGGCCGTGTGGAAGTGTGATGTTTACGTGACAGCTGGTGGAACACCGCGTGAGCGTGGCGGGAGTTTCGAGTGTGAGTTTCTTGATGCAACGTAACACGCGAGGTTATGTCAGGTGGTTATCGAAACATCGAAAAAGCGCACGGGATACGTGGATGCCGTGAACACGAACGTGTCGACGGGCGTTTGGCGCGCAAACACACCGCCTCGATTAGGTTACATAATTAATTAATCATACCGCCGTCAGTGGTTCGCAAACGTTGCATAATTGAGCGACGCCGCTGGGAGCTGGAGCCGCGGATGCAGGATACAATCTCAAGGTACGAAAATTTACCAGTGTAAAACTGCACGTTTATGTTAACACTTTACCGACCGGTAGCGGTTGATTAATCGGTTATCGGTCGGTAAAACAGTTGATTAATACGCTATCGGTCGGTAAAAAAGTCGATTAATAGGCTATCGGTCGGTAATGTGTTAAGTAAACATTTACGAAATCTGCAAAGATCGATATCAATGGTGTCCTGCGAAATACGTAGTCTTTTATTAAAAATCAAACTATAATTTCCAATAATAAATTTACGAGTTATTAGTAGATATCGGATAAAATCGATTAGTACTAGGGAAGGAAAGTAAAGTAGTCCAAACGTAGCAACAGACTATACAGACATTATAGGCAGACTGTGTCACTCGACATCATGACTGAACTTATTTCGCTTATTTCGATACAAAATGGAGAGAAATCGAGAATGTTCGTAACCTTTTTTATTCGGAATAATCAGTCAGAAAAGTGTTCGTACACTTAATAATAATACGACTTTAACTTTGCAACTGAGCATTACTTAATATTATTAAAAAATAAAACCCATGTTTAATTTCAGATTTACCTTGGCTTTAGGATGGTCCAGTTCAGTAGGTAGCGGTGTTTACTGCTTCTGCTCATAATTTTTGGTCCACGTTCTTTGCGCGAGTCATAGAACGTGCACTTTCAATGAGCGTACGAATTTCGCGTTGAGCGCATGAATGCATGGTGACGAGCATTCGTGGATTATACCTTTTTCCTCTAAAAAGGCCTAAAAGCTGGCTGCAGGTATACTCCGTTCCATTGTCCGAGCACTGGACTTTAATTTTCGTTCCTGTTTGCGTCGATACGATGCCTCGAACTTCTTAAATTTTCTAAACACTTCCAATTTATGTTTCATGAAGTATACCTTACTATAGTTGATACTCTCGTTCTTTACAGGGCCACAGACATCAGTATGAATTTTCTCATTTGGCTCGTAATTGTCTTCAACCTCAAGTCTGACGATTCCTCCAATTGATCTGCAATGAGCTCTTCTTCATTAACACCGGAAGTTATAAAACTGCTCTCAGGTAGTTTGAGCAGCTCATCTCAGTACATCTCAGCTTGTTCCAAATTTTCTTCACTGTAGAACAATTGTACAAATTACAACAAAGATTTGGAGCGATTAGTACTCAGTATCATCATTTTTACTAGCCCTGTGTTTAGTACAATATTTGTATCAGATATTTAATTTGTATACCAATAAAACAAGATTCATTTGAACTCGCGAATCCTGTAATAGTCGAGGAATCTAGGTAGCTTGAAACTAACCTACATCTAAAATCATACGAAAGCTTTTTGCCTAGAATCGTCATGTTTGCCCAGGAATGTCGCATTGCGCCTACGGAGACACTTTTGCATCTCGCTTTTTCTGAAATTAGTCTCGGTCGGTTTACTTTCGCGTCGTGTTTCCTTTTTTTCTCATTATTCTCGATGCCTTTGTTCTTGCAATCTAAATCGCTTACGGGAAACGAAGATTAGGTCTGGGTTCAAAATTTCACTTATTCAGATTTATTAGTAACCTTGTTCTGAATAATCTAATCCAGACCTAACCCAGACCTAACTCAGATCTAATCCAGACCTAACTCAGATCTAATCCAGACCTAACCCAGACCTAACTCAGATCTAACTCAGATCTAATCCAGACCTAACCCAGACCTAACCCAGACCTAACTCAGATCTAACCCAGACCTAACCCAGACCTAACTCAGATCTAATCCAGACCTAACCCAGACCTAACTCAGATCTAATCCAGACCTAACCCAGACCTAACCCAGACCTAACTCGGATCTAATCCAGACCTAACCCAGACCAATTCATCGCTGATAACGGGGGTTAGGTGTTAGAACTAGAAAATAGACTCATATTCGATTTCGATGATTTCCAAATGTTATACAACTCGGTTTTAGATTTCAAGATATGTATTTGCAAAATTCTGTCGGTATTACTGCGTTAAAGTACGACTACGCATGCGCGTCAGGTCATCCACAGTGTACGCGTGAGTTTCTCAGCCCAAAAGCTTCTCTCTTGTTTTAGAAACACATCAGTGGTCACAGTAGTTTAGTTTAGGTCCTGTATTTGATGGTCGAAGTGCTACCAAAACAGTATTAGTATTAGTTTTTACGAATTAAGGCTTTCACGTCGACTAATGAATCTTCATTACAAGTTGTACTCACAACCAGAGATTACACCTATTTTCTTCTCGATATATTAGCTCAAATTTTCGTGTTTTTTAACGAAAGTATTACCGTATATTACGAAATTTCTACTTTCGTTATTACCAATTTCTTACGTAAACATTTCTTGATATTTCGTTTAATCGAATTCGTTCGAAAATGTTGAAGTGTTTCCATTCTGTTTGCGAGTACGTGAAAACCACATTAATCGGCATTGATATATTCCTCGAGACCCTTCCTTGCTTCGGGGATTCTCGCTTGGACGATTACGCGAAGCTAACGATGGCTTTTGTCGATTCTACTTTGCTATTTCAGACTTATTTTTCTTCTCAAGTTCGCGATGTCGCGCTCCCTCGATTACAAATGTGAAATCGATCTTTCATTGTCGAAGAGTCGCGCGGGAATCGGTGGGCCATGATAGCACCTTTACTATATCGATTCTCCAGAGATAGGTAGATACGAACAGCTATTCCAGTTCCCTACGAAGGACGAAGTCTCGTTAGTCACGCTAGTAATCAAGCTTTCGCTTCGATCTCAGTTTAAATTGTTTCACGTGCCTTCGTCGATGGAAAAAAGACCAACATCGCTTATTGGAACCTTGGAATAATTATTCATATTTCAGTCAAACGACGCCAGAAATATGCTTGATAGAAATTTTCTTTTATTAACATTCTATAAACATATTAATTCAAATTGTTTCACTTAACATCGTGCAATCTGTGATATTCTTAACAATATTTACGTGTCTTTCTTTATTACTGTAAATTCACATTAATATATTCAATATAAGTGGAGAAATAAGTCTCATTATTTTGCAATTAAAAACCAATTATCATAACCATAATAAAGTCTTCACTTTTTAAACTGGAGCATCTATGTCATCAGAGCTAGAAATGTTTAAAAACAAAAATCATGTATAGAATTAATAATATTAAAACATAAATATTCTTTGTACATTTAGTATCCTACGTTTCTCAAATCCAAATATAAATTATGTTTATATGAATCTTAAGTAATACAGTAAGAACAATTAATATTTCGTCCATTAATTTCATATTCACGTTTCCACAGAATGCATGAATTTCCCTATTATTGAAAACATATTATTATGATTAAATTTCCTGTACACAGATGTTTACTAGAACTGAAATGCGAATTTCTTCCTCTATTATAGCTCGTGACAAAAAGGCAGAGGTAACGAAGGTTCGTATCGGTGGAATTTACGGGCGATCATTGGTTTTCGCGTTTAAACGCCGCCAGTAAAGTAATGATCCGAGTAATGATCGTTTTTTTTTTCGCTCATGCGAACTGCACGAACCGAAAGTTTAACGTGGAAAATTGTGTTTCGCGGTAACGAGACAACTAATTTGATCAAGCCCGGAACAGCCTTTTGAAGTTTGCGATTGAGTACTTAATGCTCTTAACGGGCTCGCTATACGGGCGATCTCGATATTGGATATGAAATGCTATTATGCCCGGTGTGTTCAGTTTGGTTAAATATACAGGGGCCCGTGCAAATGATTCCGACAATTTCTATGGGTGTTTACGCGCCGAGTAATAATTTTCGTTCGTTGGAAATGTACGATAGGGCGGAGAAAGCGATGTAATAATTCATTATATGCTTTTCGGCTGTACTCATTTTACCCAACGTCGATACATTAATTGCTTCCCGCGTTTATATTCTGATAACTACAAGTTACACAATTTTTAAATTATTTATAATATACAGGGCGTTAAAAAAGAAAAAAAACCATTCGAAATAAGCAACTGAGTCAATCACGGCACTAGCAAACAAAAATGTTTGTGTCTCAGAAACGGTTGACCTTTTGATCTATGTTTATTAAAGCTTTTTTACTCAGGACAGTGTATTCTATATACCATATTAATATTAAATGGTTTTTTTTGAAGACCATTCAGTTATCCACGATTTCAATCAGTCTTTAAAGTTAGAAATTGATTAAACGTATCTGTGGCTATCGTAGGGTCCGAAGAAGGTTATTTTCGACCAACTCTTCCGGAAATGATGCACAAAAATGGGGCCAAGTGGTCTGGTGTGGTGTAGGATGGAGATTATTCCTCCAGACGGATCCGTTGAACGAAAACTGCACTTGAAACGTCTGCGATTTATGTGCAAAGGCGAATATAATGTCTGCTGCCATAAAATTCAGATTGAAAGGCTCGATACGATCTCCGCTTCAAGTAATTTCTCTCACATGTATCTTTCCCATTTGGGGGAATTACGATCATGGGAGCTCGTTCGAATTTAAAATCTCTGTCTTTGAATAAAGCTCCATTGCCTTCAGGAACTTAAATAACACTTTTTCCAAGTGTTTTCCTATAAAATTTTAACCAAAAGATTCTCTCTTTTTTAAATTCGTTTCGTCAAGTTTTATTAAATATATAATTGTAACAGTTTTATTACTTTTATATGGAATTTTGTTCGATTGTTTACAAAGAGGATGACGACTCTGTGAAATAAACAATCTATTACGTATGCTGAAAATTCTGCTGAGATTGTTAAAGATCCTAGTGTGTTATTTCATTATTATTAATTGTAGTTTTCTGTGCATTCAAAGTTCGCTAGAGAATTTATGTAGCTTCGTTTTGGGATCGTTTTGAATGAGTCTGCACATGTGATTGAGTATTCCATAACATCTCTGGCTAAGATTAATATCTTCAGTCTCTTTCGCACGTTTCCACGAGGACGGTCATGGTTGTTTCGCTTTTGGTAGGTTTCCCGTACGAAATCGCAGGATTTCGTTCAATCGAGTCGCCCCTAGTGGCATTGGTCCACGTTTATGGT